ATACCCAGTACCCATTTCGATCACGTGAACAAATACTGGATGGCTGAGTCCGCGCTTGTTGTTTTGCGGGGAATATCATTTGTTTTCGCAAAATAATGGTCTATCCAACATGGAGTTATAAATATTGCCTAAAATTTGAGGTCTGAGGACCAAACCCAACAAAACTGTTTGTTCTTTTGCAGCCTGCTAAACATGACTAGGTCCTCCAGTAGGGAGGTTAAAATATGTTGGTACCCTTTTTTCTCTTTTGTCTATTTTAGTAGGGGAAGACTCCCTACCAAAAAAGAAACGGTGAGAAAGGGCACCTAGCTGGGGGACCTAGAACGTGGCAACACCAGAAGTCCTCGCGTCCCACCTGGAGCCGCGGATCCGTGATCTCCGGGGGATCTTTGGCCGCGCGCACGCAGCTCTTGCAGCGCGCCGTGCCGCTGGTCTTCCGGCGCTGGGACGCGGAGAAGCAGTCCTGAGGCTTCTTCCCAAAGGCCCCGCGGAAAGCGCGTGTTTGTTTTGGTGGAAAGAACGGACGCTTTTTGTTGGAGGCGAATACGCCTGATGGAAAAAAAACAGTAGTGGTAGATTCTCTTTTAAACCAACAAGGGAACAAAAACATATTCTTAAGCAATTGGAAGGAAGGCTCCGTGGCTGTTCCTACTTCAGAAGACGCATCCTCTGTTCTTCCGCTTTGAATTCAAAGGCAAGCCACCCCTGAGGCAACTAGGCAAAACACACATCTCGCTTTCCAGAGCGCAACCCCGCAGAAAGGGCCCGCCCAACACCACAAACACAGAAATGCCCCTGTTGGCTTACGCTGGAATAGCGACCTCCTCCCTCACAAACAAGAAGGAAAGGAACCCCAGAAAACGGGTTGCTACAAAAGGAGGGGGAAGAATTCCAAGTTCTCGAAGATTCGGGCCCCTTTGATTCTTTATGGATTGTGGACTGAACATGTAGCGGGAAAAAAGGGAGGCAAGATTTCTCTCCAGAGCCCAACTGGTTGCAACCGAGTTGTCCAAGAGAAGCCACTCCGCACACGATGCGCACTCCACCTCCAGAGTTTCCACCGGGTTGGACATGACATGGCTCGTGTCTGGCTCACTCATGGGGCCCCTTGGCATCATGGGCTTGAGGGGTGTCAAAAGAGTATATCCTCACAAGGTACTTGGGGGCATTGTCCTCACAAGCTACTTGACTACTTGCTTGCCTTATCTCTTTGTAAAGTAGCTTCCTTATAAGGGTTCCAACGAAGAATGTGTTTCAATCGACAGATTCGGAGGGGTCAGCTGCGTCACTCACGCTCGAGCCAAAGACATGGGCCTCATCCAGCCGACGCAATACTTTCCCAGACCAGTGGCCATGGGAAAAAGGAGCACCTGTTTGTTGGTAGTTGATATTGCCCGAAAGAAAAACGAGACAAAGCACCGCTGGGTGTCGGGGCTTTGCAGAATGCAATTCGAGGTGGGTGGCTTCCGACCCTGCAATGAAACGCCTCCACTTTGGAGTTGGGAAGCCTGGCATTCCGGAATGCCAGCCCTCACTGAAGCCAAAGGGGACGGAACTGTCAAGTTGGGCGATTCTCCTACTTGCGATCATTATTTTGGTTCAATTGCACCCCCCCTGATTCTAATTTAGGCCCTCGCAACTTGAAAATCTTCCAAGGCTTACGAAAAGCTGGCGCAAAGGGTCTCCTGGAGAAAGGCACAAACCCTGCCAGAGGAGATTCAGACCTCCTCTCCTATGGACGAACACATGCGGGCTGCGCAAAATTCATGCATGCAACGACCAAGGTTGTTCCGGCCCGAAGATCTAGTCGCCTGAGGGTTGAAACCGGTCGAGGAAGCCCACAGCAAACCGCCTATTCCAGATTTCCCGACAACATGTTCTTCTTGCTGGTACTCAGTAAGGAATGTGGCAATGCACCCAGGGATTCCCTTCAAGGCAACCACACGGGGATGGTTTATAAGTGTCATATTCCATTGCTCATTCCCTGCATCTCTCCCACCAGCAAGAGACGTGTGGCATCTGAGTCGTCAACCGGAGCTTTGGCCATAGGTTCAGTTCGTCTGACATCCGGATTTTTAGTCTACCCCAACTGAAAAGTCTGGCTGTGGCTCAAAAACCCGGTGCCAAAAAAAAACCGGCAAGTGGAAACATGGACCAAAACCTGCGGTTTGCCCCAACTGTTTAACTCTGAGCCACACCCATCTAGTTTGGGGGACCTCAAGCGAGACCTTTTCCAAGGTCACCGGAGACCATCTCCAGACGGCCTGGGCCGGCGTCTGCACCAGGGCTCCGGGAAATGCCGACACGCGTGCAGGCCACCTGGCGAAAGCCAAGCTCCGCTTCCGGTTTCCGCCCGGCGTCCTCGGGTCCTCGAAACTGGAATTGTTTTTTTTGGTCTACAGATGAGGGGTCTGGAAAAATGCGAAAAGGTGACCAAGCCCTTTTGAATAGTTTGCTTTGGGTAAAGCGGACAACCTGAAAGCTATTTGGCACCCAGCAATTGATTCTCAAGCCTGAACTGGAAGTAGATCTGCAAAACTTAGCCTGCTGGTAAAGGATAATGATGGGACACCACCATTTTCCCTTTAAAGGCACCCCAAACGTGAGGTTCAATGTGAGAAGGTTTGCCAAAAGTAGAGGCCCTTTTTGGCATCCCCTTAAAAGGCGGCACAAGGCACCAGGTCTGAAAAAGGGTCCAGATTCTTGACAACATCCCATGTAAAAAGCGGGTGCCCCAAGTTCCCCAAAACCAAAACCCCAAGCCGAGTCGCCTAGAGGTCGGCGACATAGCGCCTGGCGCCACTGGGCGATGTTCAGGAGCAGGTCCTGGCAACACCGATGGAGACCTCCTGGGCCCGTGGAGTTCAGGAAAGAGCTCCCTATGAATGGATAAATTTCTAGCTATATGATAGTATGATTATTGTATTCGTTAGTTTTCATTCTAGTACTAGTAGTAGTGGTGGTGGTGGTGGTGGTAGTAGTAGGAGTAGTAGTTGTAGTAGTTGTAGTAGTAGTTGTAGTAGTAGTAGTAGTAGTAGTGGTGGTGGTGGTGGTGGTGGTGGTGGTGGTCGTGGTAGTAGTAGTAGCCTGTATCTAAGCATATGTTTTTTTTTATTATCTGTGTTTATATTATATTATGGTATATTATACCTGTATATGTATGTATAGGTTGATGCTTGCTAAAATTCCAGGGCCCTTAAATTAGAGAAACAACCGCACAAGCAAGCAGTCAGACAAACAAACAAAAAAACAAACAAACAAACAAACGAGCACAAGCAAACAAACAACCCACCAACCCACCAACCCACCAACCCACCCACCCACCCACCCACCAACCCACCCACCCACCCACCCACGAACTCACCAACCCACCAACCCGGCCCAGCCAACCCAATCAAACCCAGCCCAACCCAAGCAGCTAAACAACTGGTCCCGGGAGGCGACCGGCTTCGTCGCTCTGCTTTTTACGCTTTTTTGGCTGGATTCTGACGCGCGATGGCAAGCGGCCAGCGCGGCATTGAAGGCGCCCTCGCTCAACTGACCTACAGGATTTTGAAGGCAAGGGCGTCCCCTGGGCAAAAGCAGTAAGTGAAATCGCTGCCCAAAAAAACAGGGGCGCAAATAAGACATATGCTTCACCACCTGGCTTTCACACCTCCTAACTGAGCTTGGGCTTATAATCCCTACAACCAAACAGAGGCTGCCAAGTTCGGTTCCGGAAGTAGGAGTTCCGCATCCAAATTATGTATCTACGAGACGCTGGAGAACCCTTTGACTGGCTCGTATACCACTCACTTTCAAAGGCCGTGGAACTGACAGATCTTGTTTCGGCCGTGACTAAAGTTTGCCAAGCGTGACACACAATTGTTGCGACTGATTTTGAGAAAGCCACTTCAACGGAAAGCAACCCAAGGGGAATGCCTGATGTTGGGGCATGCGCGGATTTGGGTGTCATGCAACTTTCTGGGTTTCAAAAGGTGAGCAGCAGGCAGGCAACCAGGTGAAGCGGTCCAGGATTTGAATTCAATTGTCCACATCCGGATCAGTACTGGATGCCAACAACCTCCATGCGGTGCCTGCATAGGGGGTCTGTAAAACACTGAAAGCAGAAACCTCCGCCAACAGAAACCACTCGTCCCCTTCTGCCAAACAACTTCTCGCCCTTGCTGTGGTACCAAAGTTACAACGCTGACAAAGCTCAAATATCAGTTGCGGGTGTGTCATTCTTGCGAGGGTACCCCTTGGATGCAGTCTAAAGAGAAACCAAAAGGAGACAAATGCCTTGCCTCCCATGCCCTGCAGGAGGTCGACTGCCACCTGGACCTGCTCATTCCGCCCACAGGCTTCAATCACCGCCTGACGAGTGTCGCTGCGGCGAAGGCGAGGCAAGCACGGCTGTACATTCCCGACCCGTTCTGGTCTCTCGTTTTTTTCCGAGAACGATCCCCGAACACCGGGACTCTCTTTTAAAGTTTCCAGGCGACGAAAAACCGTCTAAAGATGCTTAAGCCATTTTGGCTTTCAGAAGCTCATGTCTATGGCCTGGGTGTCTAAACCAATCACAAGAAGTTAGGCGACCCGCGAATTTTGACCCGTCCTGCACGAGCTGCAATTTCGATCCATGGGTTTTGGGCCCTCCAAAATATTTTGGAAAGGACTGGAGACTGACAGGAAGGGATTAACCGTGGAATGCCTAAACGGGGCGGGTGTGAAGGGGGTCGGGAGTGGATTCGCCAAGTTAGTAAGCTATGACCCACTGTTCAGTGGGGTTACCCCTGGTATTATTGAGTTGTAAGAATGTTAGCAAGTTGTAACCCAAGTGGCGTTTCCCTCTATGGATTCCCTCAGCGGAACACATCACTACAGGGGTTGCTTTCCAGCAACTCCACACCCAAAAGCCTGACCCAAAAGCGAAGCAACCACACCGAGAAACTTGAATTTTAATCAAAGGACATGTAACTCAACACCAAGCAGCGTACCCCCAGAAACAATCAAACACAGAAAGCAATACAGCACCCAGGTAATTCGACTGAAACCTTTGACACTTCGAGAGACATCTTTTTTCAATGGTCTGGTTGGCAAGAGGTTAAGTCCACTCAGAAAGACTTATAAGCGGGCTATGTCCTAGGCCTCCAAGAACATACTCACTTGGCCAAACACCCAGATGCCCTCAAACAGAACAGAAGCCCAGAAATGGGTATGCGCCAAACCGGTTGAGCATTGTTTTCTTAGAGGTTAAAGGCTTCTACACTGCTGGGGAGGCTACGCGTGGGGCTTCGCGAGGCCAGAATTCGTGGAAGGCTTGGCTTCGCGAGGCTTCGCGGCAAGACTGTGGCTTCGCGGAGTGGCTTCGCTAGGCTTCGCGGATGCTTGTTCCACAAACATCTCTTTGAACCAAGTTGAGTCTTGAATGGGGTGATGAAAGGGCGGTAAGAGAGACATTGAGCTTCATGACTAGGGGACATGGCTGCGGATCAAAGGGGCGGAGCATGGAGGTTGGACCGCAGTGGCTTCGCAGAGGCGTTGCCTAGCAAAACTGTGTCTGAAACGCACAGTGCTCTTCCGACAGTCTGACGGTAATCTGCCTGTAGTGTTGTCATAGCCTTCCAGCAGCCATCTGAAAGTGACTCTAAACATCAACCTTTGGCATGCTACTGCCATGAACGCACATACCACTCCAACCATGAAGTGGCTTCGCAAACTGGCTTCGCCTGTGTCAATGTTGCGCTACGCGAATTGGCTTCGCGGGGCTTCGCGGCACACAGTGTATCACACAATTGCCTTCGCGGACCTTTTGGGAGTTCCCCACGAAGTTAAAATCTATCATCAGAGAAACAAAAAAAACAAAACAAAAAACCTTCTCAGTAGTTCCTTTGGTTTCCCCGTAAACCAAGCGGACCAAATACACACAGACAAACACTCCTCTGGATCCAATGCAGGGTTGGGCAACATGTGCTTCAACCACAAGTTGACCCATTTAAATTGAACCTTTTAATTCTAAATCATCGATTCTGTATCGACCATTTTTCCCACCCCCCTTTTTGCTTGGTTCGGCGGTGATGCCAGCCGAACTCATGCAGAGGTCACTGGATTTCCCCTTGAAAAGTTGCAATTGACTGGTGGATTCCACTTTTGCGGGTTCCGAAAGAAACAACAGTTCGCCCACTCTGACTCATCCAGACCCTTCTCTCACTTCTGAGTGGATTGGTCAGAAATGCTTCCGACTTTTTGACTAGAGTCCATGGGGCCCAAAATGGAAGCCTGGCAAATGGACGGGTGGACTGAACTAGGCGTAACCCGAGCTGTTTCATTTTGAGCCACACCCAGAAAGTGAAAAGTCACCTTTGTTTCTTCTATGCCACTAAACTGGTCCAACCAGATCCGAAAAAGTGACTAAAGTCCATGAACTCAGTCCCCAATTTCCAGCCCTCCATGCCCCGCTTGGGCATGGGTCAAAATTAAGCCACCAGGATATGGACCGCAGGTTTTCGTCCATGTTTCCGTTTTCTATCGTTCGATTTTGGGTACCGACTTTTCACCCACAGCCACTTCGCCTGCAGGGTGAAGTCGTTGCCGCCGCCCTCGCCCAGCTTCAGGGCGTGCCGCCAGCTCCCCGCGCCGCACCTTCGGGGAGCCGAACGCCATGGAGCCGAACGAGCCCCGAGATCCATTCAAGGAGCTGGGTATGTGATACAACACTAGAAGGATGCAGAAAATCAGAGTTTTCTTTGTGAAATCAAGGATCCCAACTAAAAGGGTACCATAATTCCGAAACTAAAACTGAATACAATGGATACTCCACGTTCCCTGAAAACAAAGGAACACTAACAAAAATATGTCCAGTAGCTCTGGATTCCCTGTTCAACATCCAGGGAAAACAACACATATTATTAAGCAAATGGAAGATAGTTCTCAAACTCAAGCTGGAAATCTCCAAGACCTTAGGGCCCGACTCAAATTCCTCGGTTGGTTCAACCCCAGATCTACGTAAACTGGACTCCCAGCGAAGACCTTGGAGGTGTCTAAATCAAAACTTGGTATTCACAGCACGGAGATGTAAAGAACCAAGGTGGTTGGCCAACCTGCCCAGCTTTTGAGTTTGGCTCAGGCCAGCTATAGGCAACCAGCTATTTTCCTCTGTTTCCCTTGGTTACCCTTCTATGGGGAAATGGAGCTGGGAAGAGGTTCATGAAACATAAAGTGTGCAAGTGCAAAGGTCCATTGACTGACCACCCCACGTCCGGAAGTGGTTTATATGCGTCATTAAGCCTCTATTCCGCTAGCGACTGGATGATTTAGCCACTTACCTGATGGTCTGAAACCCAGGTTGGGTGAGTCTCGTTTTCAACAGGCGACCAAACATCAAAACTCGCAAAAAAAAGTATCCCAAGAGGCGCCACGCATTTTTTGCGTCAAGCCGAAACCATCCTCACCCCCTCAAGGGAATCGGGGAAGGGTGACACCTGGAGATCTCCACTTATGGTTATATTTTCGCTTTTT